GAGCATAAGAAGCTATAATACGTTACTGCCAAGGTTCTGAAGGAATTCCATCTCTTTATATCATATTACCCAACAGAGAACATGATTTCTAGTCTCACTGGAAATCCAAAATTCTTTATATAGTTTCAGCTGCACAGCCCTGGAGATATAGTAGATGTTTAGGAGAGATTTGAACCCACTATGTAATAATAAACTGCAATAGATAAATATAATTATTATATGCAGCCACTAAGATTGAGAATAATGAAGAAGTTATGGTCTTTTAAAAAAATTTAAATTTAAAAAATTATAGTGGAATATACATAACAATTTTACTATTTTAACAACTTCCACTTCCCCTTCTCCTTCTTCTTCCCCTTTCCCTAGCCCTTCCCCTTCCCCTTCCCCTTCCCCTTCTTCTTCTCCTTCTCCCCCCCCCCACCTCCTTTGGGGTGGGATCCAGGGCCTCATGCATGCTGGGCAACTGCTCTACCACTGAGCTACACCTAAAGTGCTGTTTTGACCATTTTCATGTGTGGCTTAGTGGTGGGAAGCACATTAATGTTGTGTAACCATCACCACTATCCATCCCCAGAATGTTTTCATTCTCCTAAGCTGTAACTCAACATCCATTAAACAATAACTCCCCAGTCTCTGCTCCCCTTAGCTCCTGGCAACCACCATTCTACTTCCTGTCTCTATGTATTTGATTACTCTAGGTACCTCAGACAAGTGGAACCATACAATGTCTGTCATTTTGTGACAGGCTTATTTGACTTAGACCAGAATCCTCGAGGTTCACCAAGGAGTAGCATGTGTCAGAATTTCTTTACTATTTATTTAGTACATGTTTGCAGTTCATGCTTCTTTACTTTTTTTTTTTTCTGGTACTAGGGATCAAACTCAGGACCTTGTGCTTGTAAGGCAGGTGTGACACCACTGAACTAAATCCCTGGCCTGCATCTTTACTTTTTGAAGTTTGTTTTTTTGAGACAGGGTCTCACTTCATATTTCAGATTGACCTTGAACTCCCTATGTACCCCAGGCTGGCCTCGAACTCACTGTGATCCTCCTGCCTTGACCTCCGAAACTACCATTCCTGGATCCTATTTTTATTTTTAATGAGCACTGATTTGCTGTAAAATTCTTTAAAGCAAGGATCACATCTTCTTCTCTCATATTCTACAGCTTAGTATCATATACAGTATTTCCTATCAAAACATTTCAACGACGTTCATGCTGAATGAATCTTTTCTTAAGTGAATTATAGAAGAGTGTGTTTGGGTTAGAAAAAGTATGAGTGGGCATAGTCTGTTTATCTTGCACATGTCTACATTGAATTCACTAAGACAGAAGGAACACTCAAATTGACAATATTATTGACAACAAGGTAGACTGGCACTATAATATTTTTTTAATATTGAAATGATATCATTTCAAACTGAATGCAGTATGAAGGGGTCTTCTTTTACTCCTACATAAGTCATACAGAATAGTTTTGGTGACTGACAGTGTGCATTTCCAGACCAGATTGAGGGTGCGCAGGGGTTTGGAAAGAGGAGTATGAGAAGAGAAAGAATATAGTGGGAGAGAAGTGAAGGATTAAATGCACCTAAATAATTAGATACAGCAACTAAGGAATATAGAGCCATCAAAAAGGAAGAGATTTGTGGAAATAAAACGAAAAAACTCTTAGTATTGGAACTAGATATGATAACAGGCAATTTAGGCTTGGAATTGCTTTAAGTCTTAATTTACATGAGTTGACCTCACACTGAAAAATTACACAATTACTACTGAGACAATGGATCATTATTGGAATCAAATAAGTAAATTGCTTTGCTTTTCATAAGTGTTTTTATGTGAATTTATGAATATTCTCTAACTGCATCCTGTGTTGGTGAAGCTAGTTTGAAAGGGAAATGATTACATCCTAGGCAAGTCAGATGTGCCTTATTATAAATTTGACTGTGACTGCTGTTACTATAAAAGATCCCCATCAAATATACGCCACTTCACTTTCCTACCATCTCAAACTTGTTGTAAGCAGCTGACAGGCAAATTTGGTCAGATTTACTGTACTCCATCAACAAAGAAGAGATTTTCAGCAAAACATCTGGCACTGTGAAGAAGTGAAATGAAAGAGAAGTTATTTGCCATCTAACAACTTTTAGGGACAAGAGGAGGCAAAAAGTAGAAAATGGGAGAGGACCCTTTGGAAAGGGATTGGAATTCCCTCATTAAGGTTTCTACTATAATTTGAGAGGAAATAAACACAAAGGCAAATGTTGGATTCAATATATTTATCACATTTTCGGAACAGCTCAGTTCACATGATGCTGCACTAACTTCAAAGCTAATGTCACAAAAACAGATGCTTCTCTAATTGTAATGACATGTGAATTACCTAAGGGTCTTCTAAAAAGGCAGATTCTGATTTTTTAAAGTTTGGGTTGGGTCCCGAGAGTTTTCATTTCCAACACACTTTCCTGTGATGGCTGCAAGGGCAGAGAGATTAAATATTAATCCAATCTTTGGAACCATTATCATATATATCATGTAAAATTTAGAGCCAAAACTAACTGAACATTTTCTCTTCCATCATACGTTGCCATTGTCAGTTTTAGCTATACGGAAATCTGGAGATGTGTGGCAGATTCACTAAGACCTGGTAGGCAGGAACCTTCTTCCAGTCGTGTTCCTCAGAGACCCTTGCTCTTTGGAATGACTCTTTGAAGTTTTCTAACTTCTTCTCTGATGCCTCTTCTGTTTCTCCCTTTTGGGGTGCTCTGTTCTTGCATACAGAGTTGACAAGATATCCCAGAGAGCTATGGGACTTGTATCCTTTGGGCCCTACTTCCAAGCTCCATTTCCAGGAGGGTGGCCTGGTGAGCAGATTGCTTCTGCTCATTTCCAAGGTATTTCTTTTGCAAGATAATGTGAAACTGGGCTTCCAGAATGAGGGTGACACGTTGATTTTGAATGGTTCTTGTTCACATTGGACATGGGTCTAATTCAGGGCTTTAGGCTAAGGTTTGCTGTCAAAGGTACATGGGTGTATCCATTCTTCTACTCTCATTATCTATGTCCTGGGGATGGTGCCACCTCTGATATATAACATCTGAGAACTATAGGGATATAATAGATGTCCTCATGCCCCTTGCCACCTGCACTGAGGGTGGTCGTGTATCCCTTCTACAGGCTCTATGCCATGGCCCAACAGTCCCTTGGGGATGGCTGCACTTATCTCTTGTGAAGGCTTTGAAGATTATTGCTCCACCACACACTAGATCATTCTGGCTAGTTACCCTTTCCTTGACTAGGGACAGATATGGGATCGCTCATTTTTTTTGCCTAGAATCCTTTCCCTGCAGGAGGTGGTATGTGGGAGGCAGGGAAGAGTCAACTTGGAAGACATCAATTTCAGGAACGTAATGATTGAGGTCTAAAGAGTTCAGGTGAAGACATAGTTGTAAGATGTGCTACTCTGTTAAAACATTCTAAATGATAAATTTAACATGACTAGATATCAAAGTTATCACTTGTGTTTCCCTGTAGTAAACCTTGGGTAAGTCTTGAATTTGTGGTTTTCTTCAAAACATGCGGCAACAATCTGAGTGATTGAAAGCTCACAGAGGGTGATTCAGTGATCATAGCAATGATGTGACCAATATTAAACACGTGATAGCAGGGTTGTAGCAAGTTGAAGATCCGTATCATTTCAATATAAAAATGTCACAAAGGGCCATAGCATTATGAGTAATACCAGCACTGCTACCCCTTTCTTGTGGTGAAAGGTATGAAACTGGCAAAAAATAATTTATCTAATAATAAAACAAAGAAATTATTCCTGGACCAAACAAGAAGAGACCTTTACATACCAAGAAGACCCTTGCATACCAAAAAGAACCTTTACATGCACTGACTAAACAATAAACAAACATTCTCACTGTTCTAATCTCTGTCAAAAAAAAATCACAATATAACATAGACATGGACCTATGAATTTTATGACACACTTGAATTCAAAGTGTATAGAAAGGAATCTTGCAAAAACATTTTTCTGAGGTCTGCACATCTTAGTAGAGCCCTAGCTCTGGGATTTTGGTGGAGCCCGGGCCCTTGGGGAGAATTATGAGATGGAGATTGTCATAGTAAAACATTAAGAAGCTCATCTGGAACTTACAGAAATAAGTCTACACCCCAAAAAATGCAAGAAAACTGAGCAAAAGAGCTAATTATTGTGCTCGCAGGCATTTCTGTGAGCTTCTCTCATAAAAGATTAAAACAAAAATGGAATTAAAACAGGAAGTTTGGGGTTGGGGATGAGGTTCAGTGGTAGAGTACTTGCTTATTATTATGTGCAAGGCCCTGGATTCAATCCCCAGAACCAAAACAAACAAATAAAACAGAACAATAACTACAAAAAACAGAAAGATTTTTTTCTCTGTACTTTATATTTGGGTTTATTCTGAGAAGATTATGTTGTTAATATGTCTATAATTGGTTTTTTTTAGTTGTCTGCATTTCAGTAGAGTAAAACAAGAAATAAATATGTTCAAGGACTTTGAAAATAAAGAACAAGGTGTTGAGATTTCACAATTTGAAAGCCGTGTAAATATTTGGCTCGCTGAATTAAGTAAAATGGCTTAATTATTTACTACCATGCTGTGAGAAAAACTGAATGTTGAGGAAAAAGAAAATTCTTTCTAATTCATATGTCAAGGAAGCAAGGCAAATTTTTCATTTTTGTACAAAAAGAACCAACTTAGAGCAATACCAAAATCTTCCATAAAAATAGAAATCATTATAAATATTTTTGGAAGACAACTTGTTAGAGTGTCCAAAATTTTAATGATCTTACCCTTTAGCCTAGCATTTCTATATTTAGTAAGCTATTTTATAAAACATTTGCACAAATTCATAAATATGTATAAAAACACATTTATTACTTTTCTACTTGGTTTTCTAATAGACACTTAGTCCATTCTTGATCCTATAATAAAATACCACAGACCGAGTTGATTGTAAACAGTAGAGATTTATTTCTCACAATTGTCTATTTTTGAAAACAGTAAGATAATTAGTCTTGTTTATTGGATTGCTGCTAGTGCCAAAATGTTCTAATATTAAATCACTGAAAAACATGGGAGGAAGATTTGAAACACTGACTCTAAGATTCACATCACCAATGTTCACACCTCTGGAATATATCATTTCATTTTGGTTTTGTGGCCAACCACTGCTTCAAATTGAACATTCTGTATACGATGTATAGCTGCCAAAGCACGTTCAGGAAGAAACCTACATTAAAAAAAAAAAGAGGAAAAAATTCAATTTAAAATTTTTGACACCAGAGTCCCTTTTTGTTGTCAGCTTTTAATTTAATTCACCTCTATTCTTTCTCTCCCCTTCTCCCTTAGTATTAATAGTTCGAATTGTATGCAAATATAAAGACTGATCAATGTCACTCTTCTTACTCGCTCATCTTATTTTAGTAAAATTATGTAAAATCTTATGTCATTAATGATCTAAAACTGAAAGTCTGAGCTCATTGCTGAAACTGTCAATCTTGATGTCAAGAGCTCACAAACACAAGAATCCATTCCATGCATCTTTGTATCTTTCTTTAAGTAGGTACTGAATATCTATTATGCATTATGTAAAAAGATAAACTAAAGAGCTAAAAAAAAAAGCTACTGTCTTTGAGGAATCTACTATTTTTCTTTTTTGATACTGGGAATTGAACTCAAGACCTCACACTTGCCAGGCAGGTGCTGCAACACTGAGCTACATCCCCTATTGTTTAGCTGAATGGCTAGCTTTAAATGGTTATTGAAAAATATCAGGCTGGAATGGTGAGGAGGATTAACATGGGCTAGAAAAGTGGTGGAAAGCTTGAAAAGGACAACTGGATATTCAAGGACAGATAAGATGAAAGAAGAGTATGAGTGAATGTAAGGAGGCAGAAATAATGTGTTTTGAAAGGAAGTCATAGTAAAAATCACTTTGGTATTATTTACTAATGCAAGATTTACTTCTCTGTCTTAGGGTGAGGGGTTGGAAGATGGGTGAGTCAGCAGAGTGGCAGGGAAGATCTGGCTGAGAGATGGTCAAGGGAAAAAAGGGAGCTTGTGTGGGCCTTTTAACTACTAACACAAACAAATCATCATGCTAGTAACTGATGCCCATGCAATTGTATCTCTCTTTAATAGGAGTTAAGTGCAAAGAAGATTAATGAGATGCTTTTGTTGCTGAATAACAGAACATCATGATAGCTCCCCCAAAATGCTTGATTTTGAGACCCCCTACAGGACTAATGTTCTCCCACTCTATCAGAATAAATATGTCTATGATGTTGGTTATATGTCTTGTCTGCTATTTTAGAATTTTTCAACATTAATATGACCCATTTGAATACTGCAGGAAATGAGATTCATGGGTTCTTACTGACTTGGGGCTCAGGGGCCTGGGAGAATAGAGGGGGAGATATGTTATTGTCAGATTCTTGGACCATACAAGAAATAGTATAATGTCATTGAAATTTTACTGTGATAAGTTAAAAATGCATAGCATGAACTCTAAATAACTAAAATAAAATGTAGCTGAGAAAACAAAGTAGAAATATGAAAATATTCAGTCAACCCAAAAGGAGGCAGAAAAAAGAAACAGAGAAGTGGGACAAATAGAAGAAAAATAACAAGATGATAGCCTTAAATCTAAGTATATTGTAATCACATTAAATATACATGGTCTAACTACTTCAATTAAAAGGCAGAGATTATCAAATTGGATTAAAAAAACCCCACTTATATACTGCCTACAAAAATTCATTGCAAATACAGTGTATGGGAACAAATGGGCTAAAAGTAAAAGGATGTATCAAAACATAAGATAAAATTAATCTAAAGAAGCTTGATTGGTTATATTAATATCAGACAAAGGAAATTTCAAAATAAACAATATTACTAAGGATCAACAAAATAATTTTAAAAAGACAGAGTAGTCCATTAATCTAAGGGATATAAACCTATAGTTGTTTACATATTGACAGGGCTTCTAAATATATGAAGCAAAAACTGACAGAAATGCAAAGACAAATAGACAAATTTATAATTACAGTTGGAGATTTCAAAGATTTTCTCTCAATAATTGATAGAACAAGTAGATTAAAAAAAAAATAGTAATGATATTGAAAAGCTGAACCACTCTGTCAGCTAATTTGACCTAATTGACATTTATGGAACACTCAATAACAGTAGAATATTCATTCTTTTTAGGAGCCTGTGGAACAGTTACCAAGACATAAAGCATGTCTCAATAAACTTAAAATATTCAAATCATATAATGACTTAAATTACAAACAATGGAAAGATCTCTAGAAAATACTCAAATATTTAGAAATGAAAAGACATACTTCTAAACAGCCCATGATACAAAAAGGAAATTTAAAAATATTTTGAACAGAATGTAAATGAAAACATAATATGTTGAAATTTATGAGATAGAAACAAAGCAGAACTGGGTTGGTTACTTTTCTCTTGTTGCTGAGACAAAATACCTGACACCCAAAGTTAAAGGGGTAAGGGTTTATTTGCTCACAGTTTGTAGAGGTTTCAGTCCATAATCGGCTGTCTCCAAGGTAGGAATGGCAAACAGGTATTGCAGAGAAGAAACAACATGGCACGTAGAAGGTAGCAAAAGTAACAAGGGACCTTAACAGTATATTTCTGCCCTTTTTAATCCCATCCAGACTACTGGGATTAGGGCAGTGCCAAACCAAACACTCACATGTAGTGATTTAGTAATCACATGCCCTTAATCCCAGCATCAAACATTCTAGATTCAGCCACCTCTGAAAAAGACTGCATGAGGCTTTAGGGGGACATATAGACACAAGCCACGACAAGTACACTGAGGGAAATTAATATCATTGAATGTCTGTTTTTGAAAAAAATTGATATACATACAGTGGGATATTATTCAGACTCATAAAAGAAGGAAATTCTGCAACATACAACAACATGAATGAACCTTGAGGACATTATGCTAAGTGACATAAGCTAGTCATGGAAAGATAACATATGATTTCACTGCATGAGGTACCTAAAATAGTCAAATTCATAGAATCAAAGAGTGAATTGGGGGTTTCCAGAGGCTGAAGGAAGGAGAAATACAGAAAGACTAATCAATGGGCACAGAGTTTTGGTGAAACAGGTCAAATAAGTTCTAGAGATCTGGTATACAGCACTGTACCTATAGTCAAAAATATGTTAGATACACTAAAAAATCTGCTCAGATGGGAGATCTCATATTGTGTTCTTAGCACAGTAAAATAAAATAACGAATATCTCAATAAACACCTTCCACATGAAGAAACTAACAGAAGAACAGCAAATTAGATGCAAAGAAGGCAGAAGAACATTACATGGACTAGAGAAAAAAAATCAATTAAATAGAACACAAAACTAGAGGAAAAAAAATTAAACCAAATACCAATTTTCTAAAGAGTCCAATAAAATGGACCTCTATCTAGAATCACAAATGATCAATTTCAGGAAAAAAAAATTCTAAAGATATAAAAGACAGGACTCCAGGTTACCAGAGCTCTCTCAGTTGCTGCTGCAGAGTTGAGTTTTCAAGAGACAGAGGCAGCCCACCAGGATCTGAAAATGCTGAAGTCAATCTGTCTGGGTCACCACCATAGATGTGAAACTAAAGTTTGCCGTGCAGCCCAACACCACTGGAAAGCAGCTTTTTGATCAGGTGATTAAGACTACTGGGCTCTGAGAAGCCTGGTACTTTGGCCTCCGGTATGTGGACAATAAAGGATTTCCTACCTGGTTGAAACTTGATAAATTTTGTCCATCTAAGAGGTCAGGAAAGAGAACCCCCTCCAGTTCAAGTTCTGGGCCAAGTTCTACACTGAAGGTGTCTCTGAGGAGCTTAGGACTTGATGCGGAAGCTGTTCTTCCTCCAGATGAGGGAGGGGATTCTTAGTGATGAAATCTACCATCCTCCGAGACTGGGGTGTTCCTGGGGTTCTACACCATGCAGGCCAAGTTCTGAGACTGCAACAATGAAGTGTAAAGGTCCTGGCATCTCAGCTCTGAGTGGCTGATCCCACCGAGAGTCATGGACCAGCACAAACTAACAAGGGTCCAGTGGGAGGACTGCATCCAAGTGTGGCAAGGGGAAAACTGTGAAATGCTCAAAGATAATGCTGTGCTAGAATATCCTGAAGATCGCTCAGGACCTGGAGATGTATGGAATCAATTATTTTGAGATAAAAAACAAGAAAGGAACAGACCTTTGGCTTGGAGTTGAAGCCTTTATACTAAATATTTATGAGAAAGATGATAAGTTGACACCAAAGATTGGCCTTCCTTGGAGTGAAACCTCTTTCAATGACAAAAAGTTTGTCATAAAGCCCATTGACAAGTGAGCACCTGACTATGTTCCATGCCCCACGCCTGAGAATTAAAAAATGGATCCTGCAGCTCTGCATGGGGAAGCAGGAGCTGTACACGTGCTGCAGGAAGCCTGACACCATTGAGGTGCAGCAGATGAAAGCCCAGGGCGGGAGGAGAAGCAGCTGGAGTGCAGCTGGAGACTGGGAAGAGAAGAGACACTGTTGAGAGGGAGAAGGAACAGATGTTGAGGGAGAAGGAGGAGCTGATGCTACAGCTGCAGGATGAGGAGAAGACCAAGAAGGCCAAGAAAGAATGCTCCAACCAGATCCAGAGAATGAGAAGAAGCGAGCCCAGGAGGAAGCCAGTGTGGGCCAAGGAGGAGCTAGAGAGACAGGCTGCGGATCAGATAAAGAGCCAGGAGCAGCTGGCTGCGCAGCTTGCAGAGTACACTTACAAGATCGCCCTCCTGGAGGCGTGAGGAGGACAAGCTGGAGTGGCAGCACAGTGACAAAGAAGCCCATGGCAACCTGGTGAAGACAAGGAAGAGCTGCACCTGGTGATGACAGTAGGGCCAACCCCACTGCCACCCGCCATGTATGAGTCTGTGCGTCACCAGTGCAGGAGAGCCTGCAGGAGGAGGGCACAGAGCCCATGGGCCACAGTGCTGAGCTGTCCAGAGAGGGCATCCTGCACGACTGCAAGGAGGAGAAGCACACATCACTGAGGCTGAGAATGAGCAAGTGCAGTGGTAGCTGCTGACTCTGAGCAACGAGTTGTCCCAGGCCAGACATGAGAACAAGAGGACCCTCAACGACACCATCCACAACGAGAAGACAAGGCAAGGCTGGGACAAGTACAAGACCCTGCACCAGATCTGGCAGGGCAACACCAAGCAGCACACTGAGCTCGAGGCCATGTAGAGGCCAGGGTAGTGCAGAGGGCACAGGCAGTGGAGGCACTCTGCTGCTGGTTTGGGGCAGCCTTGGTGCACTGATTCTTCAGTACCCTAAACCTGGAAACACCTCACCATGTTCAGAAACTGAAAGAGCAGTTACCTGGTGCAAGTACTCTGGGCCAGGGGCCACCCTGGTTATTTTCCCCAGCTGTATCATTGTGTCAAACAGGCCTGATTTTTATAATTATCAAACCATTTCCTGTTGTATGCCTGGAGCAGGACTGATGGAATTAAGATGCCTGTAAAATCCAAGTACAAACTTTACACTGGGCTCTATGATGCAGGGTTCAGTATCTTTAAAGAAACCACTTTGTAGCTTACATCTGTGGCATCCTTCTACTTTTGAAATGAGCTTACACTGATCTATTTATTTTTGATATCTATGATGGATTCATCTCTGTATATTTACATGTTTTGAGGGGTGAAAAATTAAACTAAAGTCCTCTCCCACAGGCAATGATTTTCTTCCTCTAGTTTGTTCAGCTGGCAGAAATCTGCCGTGGTCATTTGGGATGGATGGGACCGGAGGGGTCTCTAATAAACTTCTAGTATTTTGCTTAAACAGAAGAATACATTGTTGGACATATCCCTACCTAATAATCAGCTATAGAGTATATGTAAATAATAACATGGGTCTGTAACATTAGTTTTAAAAAGGGAAAGTTTTATTCTGTGTATTTAGTTACATTTTACAGAATAAAAGAATTTCGTATTAAAAACCAAAACTAAGGGCAGAGGATTTAGGTCAGTGGTTTCACTGCTTGCTGCGCAAGTGCAAGGACCCAAGTTTAATTCCTGGTACCAAAACAACAACAACAACAAAATAAACAAAAAACCCCACAAAGATACAGAAAAACCAAAACTAAAAAGTTATAAAGGACAGTAAGATAATGTTATGCACAGTTTGATGCCACTATATTTGACAATTTAGATGAAATAGGAAAATTCCTTGAAAGACACATTACTAGAAATAAACAAGTAGTCTGAATTTCCCTTTGGCTATCAAGCAAATTAAATTTGTAATTAAAAACTTTCCCCTTGAGAAAATCACAAGCCCAGTGGCTTTGCTGTTGAGTTCTATCAAACATTTAAGGAAGCTGGCCTGGTGGTGCATACCTGCACTCCTAGCTATTCAGGAGGTGGATTCAGAAGGGTGGTGAGGCCAACCCGGGCAACTTAGCAAGATCCTGTCTAAATAAATAAATTAATTAATTAATAATGGGCTATAGCTATCGTTGAGAACTCTGGCTCTCTGAGTTCAAACTGTACTACTGCAACAAAAAAAAATTATTTAAGGATGAAATAATACCAATCCTACATAAGCTCTTCCAGAGGAGGGAATATTCTCCAGTTTATTCTGTGATGTCAGTGTTACTTGGATACAAAATCAGACAAAGATATTACAATGCTAGCTTGGTTTATCCTTTACAATGAATTAGTGTAATACACAGTTTTGTTTTGTTTTTTGAGACAAGGTCTCACTTTTTGTTCAGGTTGGCCTTGAACTCACTATGTAGCCCAGGCAAGTCTTGAACTCATGGTGATCCTCCTGCCTCAGCCTCCCGAGTCCTGGATTACTGGTGTATGCCATCATGCTCAGCCCCACAATATTAACAAACTTAAGATAGAAAGACTGTACAATCTTCTCAAAAAATTCAGAGAAAGTATTTGGCTAAATCTATATCCACTTGATTGAAAAAAAAACCCAAAAAAACCTCTCATTGAGGCAGTAATAGAAGGGAAATTCCTCAGCCTGATAAAGGATACCTGTGCAGTTCTACAGCTAACATCATAGTTACTGGTGAAAGACTGAGAACCCATCTCTTAAGATCAGGAAGAACAACAACAAAAAAAGATCAGGAAGAACAATAAGAACAATTGGATGCATGCTCCCTATTCAGAGTTGAAGTGGCCATTTGAAACAGTGCAGGAGAAAGGTGGCGGGTGGGGGGGGGGAGTCATGTAAAGGAAAAATAAAAGTATCTTTTTTGTAGGTAAATGACTATGTAAAAAAATCTGATGGAATCTGCAAAAAAGCTTAGCAACTTTAGCAAATGAAAAGTTAAGAAAGTTTTTCAAGGAGGCAAGATCAAAGTTCAAAATGCAATAGTCAAATATATACTAACAACAATGAGGAAGTTAATTTTTTTTTTTTTTTTGAGGATGCAGATACAATGCCAGGTACCTTCAACCATATACTTTTTGAGAAAGGGGCCAAAAACACATGCTGGAGAAAAGATATTCTCTTTAACAAACAGTAGTGGGAAAATTGGTTACACACATGCAGAAGATTGAATCTAGACCCCTATTTCCCAACTTGTCCTAAAATCAAATTAAAATGGATCAAAGACCTAGATGTGGAAACAGAAACACTGAATCTTCTGGAAGATAAATTAGGTAAAACTCGTGAGGACGTAGGTATAGGCAAGGACCTTCTGAACAGAACCCCAATTGCACAAGAAAGAACACAGACTTAACAAGTAATCACATCAAATTTAAAAGTGTCTCCACAGCAAAGGAAATAACCAGTATGAAGACAACCTAGAGAATGGAAGAAAAATTGCATCACATCAAATTTAAAAGCTTCTGCACAGCAAAGGAAATAACCAGAATGAAGAGACAACCTACAGAATGGAGGAAAAATTGCCAGCTACTCTTCAGATAGAAGACTATTATCTAGAATATATAAAGAACTCAAGTGCCAGGGATTTAGCTTGGTGCCAATGCCTGCTTCCCAAGCACAAGGTCCTGAGTTTGATCCCCGGTACAAAAAAAAAAAGAACTCAAAAAAAGTTAGACCCCCCCAAAATAAAAGACTCAATCCAAAAATAAGCATCCAGGGTCCAGGGATTAGCCCAGTGGTTCTGCTGCCTGCCTCGCAAGTGCAAGGTTTGAGTTTGATCCCTGGTACAAAAAAAAAAAAATGAGCATCTGAAATGAATAGACACTTCTCAAAAAAAGAAGTACAAAGGGCCAATAAATACATGAAAAAATGTTCAACATCTTTGGCCATTAGAGAAATGCAAATTAAAACAACACTGAAATTCCATCTTAGTCCAGAAAGAATGGCAAACATCAGAAATTAAACAACAAAACTAGTGTTGGGGAGTTGTAGGGAAAGAGGAACCCTTCTGCATTGTTGGTGGGGATGTAAACTAGTATGGGAAGTAAAAAAGAGGAAGGGGAAGTAAAAGGATCAAGATACAATATGTATAAGTACCAATTCCTCATGATGAATGCATTTATTATGTATCACAAACATATCAATAAAAAATTTAATGCCATTAGCAATAGCATTAAAACTATAACATATTTTGGGATAAATTTGATAATTGATGTGTAAGACTTCAACACAAAATACTACAAAATAGTGCCTAAAGATTTCGAAGAAGATTTAAAGAGGGAGAGATATATTGCTTTTTGGGATTGGATGACTCAATATTGTTAATAGTGTGTCAGTTTTCTTTCAATTAGTTTTCAGATTCATTGCAATATCAACCCAAATCCTGGCAGGCTTTTAAAAAATTGAGCTTTTATGAATTACTTCACCATATGATGGTCTTTTAAAACTGTCTTTCCTTCAGTTTGAACAGTCTCCAGCAAAGATTGGACAGAGAGACATAGACAGAGTGGGAAAAAGGGAATTATTCCCATTCTTTAGAAGGAGTGAGGCAATAACAGAAGAAATGTCACCATGCACCCCTGGAATGGAAGGTTTCCATACCAACTTCCACGGCTTTCCACAATAATAGTTCTGTTCACGTTTTAGGTATTCTGTGCTGTACTTACTTCTCCAATATTAGAGTAATGTTGAGATATGATGGAACAAAAATCATTTTCTTATTGGTGAGTATCCCATCTATCAGACTTCTTGTGACTTCATCTGTCTCTAATACAGGCCACAATCTGTAATTACAAAGAAAAAACTTATTTCTAGTTTTAAATTTTTGTTTGTTTGGGTGCTGGGGCGTAACCTATCTGTTCACCATATTTAGAATTAATGTTTTCCCAGCTACCCCATCCCTTCCTCCACACACTATGTTGCTGTTTCAGTATTACAATCCTATACCTTTTCTTAGCCTACCCAGTAAAAATATCAAAATAGTGGAGAGGCATGAGAAGGTAAGTAATAGAGGACCCAGAGAACAAAGAGGAGCGGTAGGATTAATCATGAGTGGGAAGGGAACACGTGACATCTTGAGGCCTACTGAGTGTGAAGAAGATATTCTATAGCTAAGTGTACCTCCCTTCCCGTGGAGGTTTTCCATAGATCTTGTTTTCAGGTCATTTAGTACTTGAGATCTGCCTCTGACTTGCTTGTCTGCAGTTCAATAGGAATTAAAGATTTGCACAAGGAGTATTACATTAGAACTGGAGATGTGACCTTTCCTATCTAAAGACTATCTTGAGAAACACTCATAACCACAAACACAATATAGAATGGTCCAATAATGCAAAATGATGACAGAAAATTAAAGTGTAAATGGATTTAAAATGTGGTAGTGAAGTTAAGATGTCTAGCTGTGGGCTGAAGTGGTTAGAGGAGTTAGGTAACCAGTGAAGGTTCAAACTTCATTCTTGAGATATTCTGTGACTTAGTGTAGATTATTATGCAGCTGACTTTTCCATGGCATTGAATGGCAAACCAGCAGAGTTATACAAACCAGTATTTTTCTAAATTATTGGATTCTTTCCTTTCTCTTACTAATACTACTTACTTGAAGTTTTCAACCCAGTCTCAGAGCCAAACTGACATTCACATATCAAGGTCAGCCCTTGTGGAGGAAATTCAGAATCCAGCAGCCCAGGTAAGAACAGTCCTAAAACTGTAGCATTGCCTGTGTCTGCCCTGTGGTTACCCTCAGAAACCCAACCACTCAGGTTCACATTATTACTTTCCTCATCTACATACCTTCTGCAAGAGTGGCAGGAGCTCTTATCAAAGCTCATTAGACACCAAGCCTGAGTACTCATCAGGAGAATTTTTAGTGGGCCTAGTTTCCTACCTAAGAGAACAGCCAGGAGTTGCAAGGGTACCACGGTGTTTACTCACACAGTCTTGAACATATAAGTACCTATGGTCTACAGAAGATTCCAATGCAGGGAGAGACTCCAGTTAGAGCAACAACACAGCTTAGTTTACGATTCAACAGACTCAAAGGAGGCTGAGTTCAAGGGCATCGATTAGCTGTATTTAGAACAAATTCCTGTTTTTGTTATAACTGGTTTCTGACTGGCAAGCTTAACGTGTGTTGTTAACCTGCAGCAGAATACCCAGGTTTGAGGCTCCTTTGTGAAGCTAATGGCTTAATTTCAGGGCCTTGATTTCACCTTTACTCTTTTCTTCTTCTTTCAGGACAAATTTTTCCTCTCTGATGGTTTCAAATTCTCTCACCAGAGACAAAGTTCTTGCAGACATTCACCTTGACTAATGACCTAGAGACTAATTTTTTGCTGCTCCTAGGAACATTTGCATTTTTAGGGACAAGATGGTGACAGTTATCACATGCACCTGAGTGTGTTCTATAGGCCAGTATTTTCTAAATGTGCTTCCATACTCACCTGGTGTGCTTGTAAAATGAAACAAAATAAAGTAGCACACCTTGTCCTTGAAGCTCACCTCAGCCTCCCAAGTCAAAATCTCTAAGGAAGAACCTCTGAGCATCTATTTCCAGGCAAGTTTGGAAAATGCTAGCATACTTCACGTTACCAGAGCAGTCCATGCTGTGGATGATATAAAAATGGCAAATACCCTTGCCTTTCCATATACTCTATTGAAGGAGGATGAACCATCAATGGAATATTATAGGTATCGTTCATCTTGGACACTCGATTCTCAGGGTAGAAGACTCTCCACCCTCTTAAAGGCACTCTCCTGCCCTCCACCCCCAGTCCTGGTCATTCCTGGTACCAGGGTGTGGCCTGACTCCTCTCCTGGTACAAATAAGTACCAGCTGCCTAATTCATGGGTAGCCAATCACTCCTGCTAGTCCCTCAGGTGTTTTCCCCTTTTCTTTAAATTCCAAGTGAAACTTAAAACTAATGCCATAACATTAATAAGGAAAAATTTTTTTGTGTGTCTCCTTTTTTTTCAGTTGGCAAGCTAAAATTTTCTTATACGGTTTTTATAAATTTATTAAGCTATGTTCCCATCCTGACTGGATTTTGACTTCACCTGGTGCTTGGGTTTTTGGTGAATCCGGTGTTCACAAAAACTGGGCAGAGACATGAAGTTTTAATACCAGTTTTCCCCAAGGCTTCAAGTTCAGCTGTCAGAGCTCTGTGAAAGCCAACCGCGGCAAATTTGCTGGAACTGGAAGAGAATCATCACCTATCTTTAGCTAAAGGTCGACGAAACACAGTGCTCAGCTTTCTTTTTTCTTTTTTTTTTTTTTTTGATGTTAGATCATTTTATTACAGTATAAAATTTCTGGAGATGAGCTAACTAGAAAGACACTGTAAATGTTTACAACATCGACAACATCAACAAGGAACACATAAAGTCCTCAGCTTTCTATGAGAAGGCAGCATATGGTTTGAGAATAAGACCTTTCCCAATTGTGTACTTGTGATTTTTCTGAGAGGATAAATGGCCATTCGTTTTCATTTATATTTTCTTATATGACTAAAAAGAATTCTGATTGCACCTGATTTCTTTTGGGGGACTGGGGATTGACATCAAGGGCTTAAACATGTCAATCATGTGCTCTAAACCTGAGCGACACTCCCAGCCCAACTTGCCATTTGTCACCTAGATCTTAACTTGGTTGGGAACCAGGAAACTTTGCAGTATATTGCATGCAGGTCTGGTTTATTGTCTACATTTAAAGCTTGATTCTGCCATTTTGTTTTGTATCACTGGGGAAGTTCTATTATGGCCTTGTACCTCTGCCTCTCTTTGTCACACACAAAAATACACACACACACACACAAACTTTCATTGCACAATCACACTGGAAAAGGTTTTGACTTGAAGCCACTGTAGGTTGGCTTACATTGGTTTTGGGCACCTATGCCATGGGAGATTTATTTTCATTTTAACTTTTGTATGTTTTGCTTAAGTCTGTGTGTTTCCTGTTTCTTTTATCAACATCTGCTCATTCCAGGACAAAATGGAAACATACTTGCATTACTCTTTTCTTACATTGTTTTACAAAGTTTTTAGAAATCTAAAAATATTTGAAATAAAATTACTGCCAGTTTCATTGCTTTCGAAGTCATTTTAAAAATCAATCTACCGTAATGTATAAATTCTTCAAAAGCAAATTACCATGCTGTGAGCATTAGAATCTGAAGTCTAATAATCCCTTAAAAGTACAGAAATATACAGTGCTGCTGGCCGGAAATGCTCACCAGTATGGGATGAGATAAGGGATCACTCCGTGGCCACACACCGAAGCCACTGTGACAATGTGGCCGTAGTTTCTCTTCATCATTGATGGAAGGAGTGCTTTTGTGATCTTCAGGTCAATACAGAAAAAGGAGAAGCAACAACACAGGCATCAGGTTTCCAAATAAGAGTTTGTTTTTCTCAAGACAGAATGGCATTTGAGAGAACTTTTACAATGAAATGAAATACTTGTCAAGAGTCCATGCCACTTCTACACAAATGGCAGAAATAAAAAAGATTAAAATATATGGGTTTGGGCTGCTAGTGAGAGCGGTGCCCTCTATGTCACGTGCCAAAAACCCATCTTAACCCATCTTACTCTTCCCCCTTCTTCCCTCAGGAGGGACCGAAGAGCTCCTTTGTGGATATGTCAGGTAAACAGCGTTATTATTATCATTGTTTTTGTGCTGATGGAGCGCAAACCTTGTACCTCACACATGCTAAGCAAGCCCTGTACCACTGAGCTATCACCCCAATCCTGAATAATATGATTAAGAGAGTAATTCCTTTAAAGGGATGCCCTATGGTAATCTGGTATTGTGTGACTGTGTTTGGTTTTGGGCCTTCTCATTCCAATTGAAATTTTGTGTGCCTGTATTGAGACAGGTGAGTAGAATAAACCAACAATTCTATACTGGCCCACAACTGTTACATATCATGAGTAGATTCCATCTCTCCCTATTTGTAATATTACATATTATATGTACATGTTAGAGAAAACAAGTCTTGTTCTCTAGAAAGAGTTAATGCTTTATAAAAAATAACAATAGCAATTCATAAGGCCCTATGCAAATTTATAGAGCCAGAGCTGCCAAACCAAGCCATCTGCAGATCCCTGACCCACAGACTGTGAGGGGAGACTGAACATTTATTGCTGCCTTTGAGAGGAGTAGTACTGGGTGGGGATTGAATCCAGAGCCTTCCCATTGGGCTATATCCCCAGCCCCCTCCTCTCTTTTATTTTTATTTTGAGACAGGGTCTTGCTAAATTGCTCAGGTTGGGCTTGAACATGTGATTTTCCTACCCCAGCTTCACAGAGTGCTGGAAATTTTGGTATAACTTGTTATGCAGCTATAGATAAGTAATATACGAAGTTCTGTAGTTTGGTGGACGTGATAACCAATTCGCATTACCACATGTGAAGGGCCAGGGAGGGTAGGGAGGCACATCTCCTTTTTCCTCCTCTCTTCCAGAATCCAAGTTGCTAGGAATGATGGCACATGCCTGTAATCCCAGCACAGACTGAGGTGGGAGAATCACCACAAGTTGGAGACTAGCTTAGGCTACACGGTAAGACCTTGTCTCGAAAAAACAAAGGAAAGAAAGAAAGAAAGTTTCTACACTAATATTGAGGCCTAGAAAATAAATTATTTCTACAGAGAAATTTGTGTTTCAGTCTCCACAGAAGTAACTAAGCCAGACTTGGTGGCACATGCCCACAATCTCAGCACTCTGGGAGGCAGAGGCAGGAGGATTGCAAGTTCAAGCCTAGCTTGAGCAATTTAGCAGCTCAGCCTCTGTCTTAAAATTTTTTAAAAAGTGCTGGGGATTTTTCTCAGTGCAAAAGTCCTTGGTTCAATCTCCAGGACTACACACAAACCCAACCCAACCCAATCCAAAAAACTTAACCAAGTGCAAGAGGTTTCTTGAGCCGTATTTCCAAGTCCAGTGTTCCATGGGTCTAGAACTTTTCTGAGAGTCTCATCCAGAAATGTCCCTCATGGCTGCATACCTCCGAGTAGTTACTTCTGCTGTCCTTCAGTTCTAAAACCCCACAAAAGGAGGCTGCAGATAAGTGTACAGTGTGTATATTTCCTCTAATGCATTGAAAAGGTGAACCATGAGCAAGCCTTGCAAACCTCCATACCTATTTGCCAGAGTTTGGTAGGTGCCAAGCTTTGTGTTGGACACTGGTGGATAAGAGAGACCAATGGTTAACACTCTGGGGTGCAGTGTCCCCCTGAAAGTTGTGCCCTCTGTTAGGGCCTCTGTGGTTTTTCTATCCAAACGAATTAGACAATCCCTGATTTAAGGCAAAGACTTGGCCACTTTCTCACTCAGAGGTAGGTAAACACAATTATGAATTTTATGTATCCTCAGAGAAGGGTCCAGACATGAATTCACCAGACTTCTACTCACCCAGAAATGTCCTAGGATGTTGACCTCGAATGTCTTGGTAATCTCCTCATCCTTGGTACTGAGAAGATCCGCTGGATATACCGCTCCAGCATTGTTTACCAGGATGCTTATATCACCCACTTCTTTCTTTACCTTTGAAAATTCAAAGAATAAGGGCTGGGGATTTAGCTCAGTGGTTTTGTCACCTGCTGCCCAAGTCCAAGGACCTGAGTTCGAGCCCCGGTACCCTCCCCCAAAAAAATGGTTTGAAAATTCAAAGAATGCATTTGTTGGATGAATTATACAAACTCCAGGTTTTGAGACTGGGGATTTAATTTTTTAAATTCTACTGGGTGAGGTCTCTCAGAGTTTAGGCATGAGAGAGCTTCCAGCTGAAACAGTGGGTGTGCAGGGAAAACTGTCATAAAAATTGCCATAATTTTTTTTGGTGGTACTGGAGATGAAACCCAGAGGTTTACATTTTTTTGTTGGTTTTTTTTTTTTTTTTTGGTACCAGGAATTGAACTCGGGTCCTTGCGCTTGCGAGGCAGGCGGCAGAACCACGGAGCTAAATCCCCAGCCCTGTTTACATTTTTTTAATGTGTAGATTTCAGGACTTAGTACATCATGAATTTTGAAAGTTTATCAATGGGCCGGGGATTTAGCTCAGTGGTTCCGGCACCTGCCTTGCAAGCGCAAGGTCCTGAGTTCAATCCTCAGTACCAAAAAAAAAAAAAAAAAATGAATGCATGAAAGCTTATCAATGACATAAAATTAATATTTGTGTTGAGTCATTTGTAGGAAAATGGATGCGCCTTGAGACCATAATGTTAGGTAAAATAAATCAGACATATAAGCTTAACTACTACATGGTTTGTCTTATATGAGAAACCCAAAATATAAAAAAACTGCAAAATTGCCACCACCTGCCTCTCAGTGCAAGGTTCTAGTTCAATCCCTGGTACCAAATAAAAAAAAAAGTGCAAAATAAAAGATAGAGAATAGGGAAAAAAAAGTCAGAGAGAAAGAAAAGGTTATTTTAACCTAGCATGGCCAATGAATCTAAAAGTGTACTTTGATTTAGTATAAATATCTTATGTATTTTATATGTTTTTTGGCTTTTAGTGTAGCTGTTAATCTGTGTTTATGACAATTAACTTGATAAAGATTTATAAATAAATAAACCTGATGCTGGCAAAAACAAAAACAGGGGTGGAGGGGAAGGTGAAAAAAAAGATTTGAGATGTGTTACGTACATATACTAGTTCCCCATGATGAATGTAATCATTATGTACTGCAGATCTATAGGAATAAAAAGTTGTGTTGCTAAATTGATACATAAGTTTTGACCAAATTGTTTTAAAATGCTGATTGAGTAATCCTGATTCCACTACATGTGAGCTACATGACCTTTGTCTGGCTTAACCTTTCTGAGTCTTAACTTGCTTACCTATTAAATGAGGTTAATAGAATCACTGAATTAAGTTAAAGAGGGCAATAGTATATTAGAGTGCTTGACTGTGTGACTACTTGATGTTTATTCTTTTAAGTTGTTATAGTATAATAATTATTAATATTACATTTTCTATAGAAGATTAGATTAACATCAAAATAAATAAAACTTCACAAAGGAAAGAATTAAAGGGTAAAAATGACTGAAAAAGTAATAGGACTAAAAATTAGTATGTAAGCCATTTCCCCTGATGATAAATATTTTGCTGACCACTCTGGGACACTGCTTAAACTTCTGATCAGAACAACATTGATTCATAACAAAGTACAAATAACGGGCAGAGCTGAGTGGATCCCATGGAAAGGAAAAGGTACATGAATGCTTTGATCACATTGCTATTTCACTGAGTGGCTAAAGTCTACTTTAAGGCAGGTGGCCAGTCATTAGGTGACGGTTCATGTTCTCTATGAGTGGTGGTGGCTACAAAGCCATCTGAGGAAACTGGAGACAGGAAGTCTCACCTGGGCCACTGAGCTGTAGATCTCCTCCCTGTTGCTGCAGTCCACCACATAGGTGTGCACGGTGGCCCCAAGCTTCCGGCATTCCGCTGCTGTTTCTTCAACACCTTGCTGTCATTGGGAAAACCAGAGTTCAGGAAAGAGTGGAGGAGAAAACACTGGCAAAGTAAATTTTTCAAAGATATCTAAAATGCCTCCTTATGTGTAAGAAAATTTCTCAAGAGTGACTACTTGCCTCATTCACAATCGGATTATACTCAACCTTTCTGCCAGGGGGTGCTCAGATAAGCACGAAAGAAAAAGCAAAGAAAACTCCTCTATGTTTTTGTTTTTCCAGCACTTTATCTTGGCCTGGAGGTTCCTTAGGAGGCAGTTTCTCAAAGGCAGGTTACTTCTGTGGCCTGAAGATGTGACTCTTTAAAGTGTCATGGAAAGTTGTGTTTGAGTGTGGAGAAGGAAAGAAGCTTCAACAATTCATTTGACACACATTTGTTGAGCGCTAACTAGGTAACAGGCTGTAGGGTGCTGAGCAGCAATTCTAAATTTTTTTTAGGACAGGGTCTCAATGTGTAGCCCAAGCTGGCCTTGAACTCACCATCCTCCTGCTTCAGCCTCCTGAGTACTAGAATTACAGGTGTATGGCACCAAGCATGACTTACATTTCTGAACAATATAGTCTGCTCTTCTTGCTTTTCTTGAGTATTCTGATATATCCCTCTGGCAAGGAAAGGGAAAGCGGTACTCTTATTTGAGAGACACATGGATAGGGAGACCATGTGTCCTCCGAAGGAGACAATAGTATATTGTTCTGGTGGTTTGGAATGAAATGGGCCAAGGCTGCTGGGTGGATTCTCATTTAGGTGACAATCTTGCCTTTAGATCTAGGATATGGAGACAAAGCAACTTATTTTTCCACCTAAATTCCAAGACCTTTTTTCTAAGATAAAATTCTCCTAATGTTTCTTGATATGCATTTCTGGAAGATGACAACTTTTATAACAAGGTTTTGACTGTATCTTTTCCTTTACAGTTTGTAAGCTGTGTGGTGAAGAGGAGAGGATGCCTAATGTCCTGGGATGGCGGAGGGGCTGCTGGAATTTGGTGGGAGTTTTCCTTGGCCAGCACTGCCTCCTGGGGCCTCTGTATTTCACTGCTGGGGGCTAAGCCCTGGTGCAGCCTCCTGAAATCCCATGGAGCAAACTTTAACAGAGATCAGGGCCCTGGGAACAAAGCCAATTGCCTCCAATTAGCCTCTTTAGGGTTGAAAGAGTGAAAGGAGAGGCTAGAGTGTCTTTTCCTGGTTGCTGGCTGACGCTGCCAAACTGCAGGAACCCCTACTACTCTCGGCTTGTCTTTTGATTTGACTTCCATAGGGAGCTTTAGGAAGCAGAGCTTTCATCATGTACTTTGACTGAAGAATCAAAAATTCTCCAGTCCTTTTATATTGAGCTAGCGCACAGCACGATGTCATGCCTTGTTGTTTTGTAAGTGAAATGCTGGCTTTAGCTTCAACTCCAGGGGGACACTGTTGGGTCCACTTTCTACTGTGTCCCTAAAGCAGCGGTTTAGAAGCAGTGAGGGGAAACTGCTGATGTGTCTTTGATCTTGGAAAGCAAAAGGAGCCAGTGAGGACAAAGAGCCAGTTGAGACCCTCCTGGACCAAGGGAAATCAGTTTACAGCCTTAGAGTGAGTCTTATAATGTATGAAATATTTAACCATAACACTCAAGGATTCAAAGAGAGTTTGGAAGACTGAGGCAGGAACTTAATTCATTTTTAGTCTGATTTCTTTCAAAGTTTACTTTTCTCATTTCACTAAAAACTTTAAAAATAAGAAATATAATAAATATGATCCTGTCCTCCAAAAAGCACCTCTGGGAAGAGATTCAAAGGTTAGATTTCATCCGGGCTTTCTCATGGATTTATACCTCTTGATAGTTTTGGATAATTACCCTAAAATAGCAGACAAGAATTTTCTCAGTTTGTAAAGTTTTATCCTCTTCTAAAAATTCTTGTCCTCTTCTCGGATTCTCTTGAAGGACCAAACTCATGCTAGATAATTTCCTGATCAACACATCACTTTCCTAATTGCCTAGCTCTGTTAAGATGTTCCAACTTTTTCTTGAGTAATATTCTTCACTATCCAGAAAGAACCCCCCCAAATTAATTCCTCAAGTTTGAGAGACACTTCTGAAGTCCCTGGAAAAACTGGTGTGAACTAGACATAGTAGCAAAGACCACAGGAGAGTAATACTACAATGGCAATTAAAATTTCACTATGATTTCTGGAAAATTTGATTCCCATAAAACTTTGCAATTTTTCCAAATCTTAAAATCCTATGAACATTTTTATGTCTTTTTTTTTGGTACTGGGGATCAAACTTGGGACCTTGGGATTGCACAGCAGGCGACGGCACCTCTGAGCTAAACCCCCAGCCCTTTTATGTCTATTTTTATGGCCCCACTAGAATTTATAAGTTTGGGGAAAATCACATAAGATCTCAGTAAATCAGATTCATTTTGGTTCATTAAGGTACTGTTTACAAAAAAAGAGTACAAGAAGAATACAAATGCCCAAGGGAAAGCCGGACTCTGCATGTAGATTTTAACACAACTAATGTTTACCACATGCCAGGTGTGATTTTAGGCCCTGAAAATATTCACCATTTCATCTTCTTACCTAGGAGTTGGCAGGCATTTTCTGCAAAGACCCACATAGTAAATATTTTAGGGTTATGTGTGAGGGAAAGTACTAGGGATTCCTGTCTCCTGTGCTTTATTTCTGTGGTTTTTGTTTTGACAACTATTTTTAAATCATTCTTAGCCCACCAGGCCATCCGTTGGCCATATTTGGCCCTTACCTACAACTTACTGTAGTCCTTGCTGACCCTGGAGGCATCACCCCATTTAAGAGATAAGAAAACCAACTGAGGCTGAGATGAATTGTGTAACTTGCCTGATGAAACAGCTTGCAAGGAGCCTGGCTCTGGATCTTTCATTATAAACCTGCACACAAGGGCATAAAAAACACCATTCCATCTCAGGTAAGTCCCTTTCCTCTAACTCACCTGATGCATATGTTAGTAAGACTCCAGAGACTGTCAAACTTTGAAAAAAGACATGCAAAGATAAGCAGAGGCTAAATCTCGTGATTTAAAAGCTATGTGTGTACTTTGTGACTCGATAGGATTTGGCAGATGCGCACATTACCTTATTAATATCCCACAGGACCAGCCTGCTTTTCCGTTTTGCGAATTCATAGGTGGTCAGCCTGCCGATCCCATGCCCAGCTCCAGTGACGAGGACAATCTCCCCAGCCACAGACTTCCTCCTCCGGGGGATGAAAAACTTCACCAAGGACTCCAGGTAGGAGTAGCTGATGATGAACAGAAGTGCGAGGAGGTCCAAGATGATGTTCATGGCGCTGCTGCCCTCTCCTCCAGCTCCTTCCTGTGCAGTCCTAGGGAAGGGACAGTTTTGCTGGGCTCATGGAGGAGTTGCACACTCAGGTGCTAATGGGGCGGCAGAGGTGGGGCTGGGCTGACTCTGTTCTGAAGGGTCAAACACTCCTAGGGCTTTTGAAGTGATGTTGATTGCTAGTAAATGCTTAGCACAGATCAAGGAAGTCCCAAAAGAATGTGCACTTTGGACCTGCTTATCTGAGAAGCAGTTGTGTACCGTGTTTCACCATGAAGTCTCACCTCTAAAAATACTGAGAGTATCTACTGTATTGCACAGCTAATGGCCTGTTGGTGTCTTTTCTTTGTTTGTCTTCCTTCCTTCCCTCTTTTCTTCTTTCTTCTTTACTTTTTGCATGATATAAGGATTGAATCCAGGGGGCTTGTGTGAGCTATATAAGAGCTCTGCCGTCGATCCACTTCCCCAGTTCTTTTCATTTTATTTTGAGACAGCATCTCACCAAGTTGCCCAGATTACACTTGAACCAGTCATCCTCCTGCCTCAGCCTCCTGAGTATCTGGGGGTACCATCTGTTAGTATCTTTCTGTAAACTTTGTGTGTGTGTGTGTGTGTGTGTGTGTGTGTTTCTTTTCTATGGAGGAAACAGGAGAAAGTAGAGATATTATCTTAAAGAAACTTAACATATGGGTTGACAAAGCTTAGCTATGGATCCATTTATTCACAAAGATCTAGCGTCTGTACTGTGCTTCAGCTTGCTAACTGTGTTACAGTGACTCTCAGTTCTCTGAAAACCTCCTGCATTCGAAGGAAATTTTAGATTCTGCAAAACAATTGATTCCCTTTGTGATAATATTGGAAAGAGAATTGGACCAGCAGTCAGAAGTCTCAGCTCAAAAATGGTGACTTCTCTCATCAGTGCCAGCTGCTGTAACTGCTGTAGACCACGTAGCTTATAAACAATAGATATCTATTTCTCCTGGCTCTAGAGGCTGCAAAATCCAGGACCGATGTGCCAGCTTGGCATAGCCTGTGTCCAATGAGGTCCGGCTTCCTGGTCCCCGGACAGCTGGCTTTTCACATTGCTTCACTGATAGAAGGAGAAGGGTGTGAGGCTTTGCTGAGGACTTATTCCATGGCAGGGCCCTCATGACTCACGCACCTCCCATAGGCCCTAAGTCTAAAGCCATCACATGGAGAGCTAGGAGTTCATCACATGAATTTGGGGGAACACATTCAGGCTGTAGCAGCTTTAAGTAGCCAGGATGAATCCAGCCCTTGCAATGCCTGGGACAGCCCTGCACACTGGAACAAAGCGTTATTGAGCCCCAAGGTCAGGAGGGCTGAGTCGGAGACACCCGACCTCGGAATACCACATTGCAGTGGAAAACATTTATCTGGCCTTTTGGTTTGGACCTTAAGTGTTATTTATTAAAAACAAGTTCTTCACTACCTTGTTCTGCATGCAGGCTTGCAGAGATCTTTATGTGGAGCTGTTAAGTATTAACACGGGCAGTTTAGAGGAGATCGCATGCTGGGCTGTGATGCAGGAATCCGTTCCAGGCTGAATGTGTGTGGCTGCCAAAAGCAGAGCTGAGGAAAAGATTTTATGAACAAAACCTCAGTTGCCTGTGAACTAGCACAAACAATCAACAAATGGGATCTCTTCTTATTGAAAAGCTTCTGCACAGCAAGAGAAACCACCAGCAGTGTGAAGAGACAGCCCACAATGTGGGAAAAAATCTTCACCTGCTCTTCCTCAGACAAAGGTCTACTATCTTGAATCTATAAAGAACTTAAAAAGATCAGACCTCCCAAATTTAAAGACCCAATCCAAAAATGGGCATCTGAAATGAACAGACATTTCTCAGACAAAGAAGTAGAAATAGCAAATAAATACATGAAAAAATGTTCAACATCACTGGTCATTCGAGAGATGCAAATGGAAACAACGCTGAGATTCCACTTCACTCCAGAAAGAATGGCTGCTATCATGAAATCATCCAATAACAAATGCTGGTGGGGCTGTGGGGAAAGAGGAACCCTGCTCCACTGCTGGTGGGAGTGTAGACTGGTGCAAGCACTGTGGAAATCAGTATGGAGATACCTCAAAGAACTAGGACTGGAAGTCCCATTTGACCCTGCTATTCCACTGCTGGGGATCTTCCCCAAAGAATTAAAAGAATCATACCACAGTGATATATGTGCACCCATGTTCATTAGCAGCACAGTTTGTAATAGCTAAAACTTGGAAACAGTCCAAATCCCCATCTACTGGGGACTGGATAAAGAAAATGTGTTTTTTTTATAAAATGGAGTACTACTCAGCCATAAAAAATGAGAAATTAGAGACATTTATAGCTAAGTGGATGCACATTGAGGCAATACTCTTAAGTGAAATAAATAGGACACACATGTGTAAATACCAAATAGTTTCTCTGGTGTGAGAAACTGAAAGTGTAAATAAGGACTAAATGTATAATAGGTAATGTGAAATAGGAAGAAAAGGGGCAAAGGGGAAGGAAGTGGGAGGGCTAGGGGAAAGGATAGAAGGGAATGAGATTAATATGAGAAAATGGAAAACTAGGAACAAAATCTTTGTAAATAGGGAGGACTGGAGGGGTTGAAGGGAGGGCTGGGCAAGGGTGAAAAATAAGAACCAAGAGAGACTATGTAAAGGTGCAAATTTCCAATGATGAATGTCATTATGTTGTATACCTAAAATGTACCAATTATTAGAATGAATAATCGATAATGTAAAATAGGAAGAAAAGGTCCAAAGGGGTAGGAGTAGTGGGAGGGGCAGGGGAAAGGAAAGAAGGGAAAGGAAAAAATGATGAGAAATGGAAAAAATGGAAATAGTCTTTGTAAATAGGGAAGGGTGGAGGGCGTGAAGGGAGGGCTAGGAATGGGGAAAAAATAAGAGCCAAGATGCATTATATAAAGGTACAATTCCCAATGAGAAATGTAATTGTGTTGTATAACTACAATGTACCAATAAAAGAATTTAATACAAAAAAAAAAAATAGCAGAGCTGAGAACTAACGCTGCCAAGGTCACGCACTGTTGAGAGACCCCTGAAAAGTAGCTTGAATGTCTACAGTAGGACCTAGATCATTATACTTCAGGGTATTTGTATTATTGAAGAGTTAAGAAGCACTGAGAGAGTGAAAGAGTTAATGTTCTCAAATAGTGTGGATGGGGGAAATGTTCAGCCTATGAGATAACCCGTTGTTCCAGTATGGGATTCTGCTTGCTTCAGTAATGCTAGAAATATACAATCTGCCATGATTTTCCCAATTTTTGAAGTTTTTGGTATGTTCATCTTTGTGACATTACTAGGTTCATTTCAAAATATTTTCATAAGTAAAAATTTTCATAAAGATGTTTCAAGGCAAGTGCGGTGTCACTGAGCTAAATCCCCAGCCCAGTGTTTTAAGTTAGTTGTTTTCTTAGGATAGGAATGAAGTACTTTGACTTTGTCATTAATTTTCTTCATATTACATATTAGTATGAGTTCTTCTCAGTAAAATTCTCTCAGCTAAGCTAAAATCAGCTGTAGTATTTAGAACCTTATTAAACTGAAAGGCTTTCTGAACTGTGCCTGCTGTTTTCTTTCCCATTGAAATGCCCTTTGGCTATCCTTGGTGGAGATTTCAAGAAGGCAGCTGGACAGGCAACTGGACACATGTCTGGAGTTTAGAGGAGGGACCCAGATTTGGGAAGAAAAATGTGGGAATAGTGACTGATACTAAATTTGTGATATAGAAACACTGAATCAATAGTGATTGATGTTGAATTTAACATTGTTTAAATTTATGTTAAAGAAATAGATCTAGTAATAATTTTGGTGAGGTGAGGTGAAAGAAGATAGATATAACTCCAGGCCTTTGGCTTGGGTACTTGGTGGAAGTGCACTTCTCTACAGGGAACACAGTTGTGGCAGGGAAAATCCTGGGGTTTTTGTTTATTTGTTTTGTTTTTATCAAAGAATGCTTTATTTACAAGCACCTTAGAAGTAAAGTACATGCTCCAGAGCTTCTCAAACTTTTCCACTACAGAACTTTAGTAGGGCAAGGAGCAGAGCTGGCTTCAAGGACTGACCTGGGCCTTCACACAGAGCCCTGGATTTGCTCTGCTCTTGATGTGAGATCCTTAATTACACTGGGCCTGTGCATTATGTATGCTGTACTAGCAGGGCATAATATATTTTTCCTAAGGATGGGGCTGTGGCTTCTTTTGCTTCTTGGAATCTGAAATCTGAGTCTGAAAAGCAAGTGCTCTAGCTTAGAGTTGGAGAGATAGCAAAGAAAATACAGATACTGCACAGCATATACTTCTACTAAAATAATGATCCATTGTTGACCAAAATGCAAATTCAACTGGGCACTCTGCATTCCATCTGTCAACTATTGGTTGAAGTCCAAGGAAATCTTGGGGAGATGGAAGTAGAGAGTGTTTAGAGCAATAATCCAACTCTGATAATTCCACTGATGCTATATGATAGCGAGGTCACAAGTCTGGATTCAAATCTGCAGTTTGTCTTCTCTAGGCTATAGTTATCTCATCTACAAAATGGGGCTACTGATGTTTATACCCCAGGATACATCCATCACCTAACCCAGAGAGGAGGCTCTTAATCATTGTTTCCTTTCTTCATAATAAAATTTCTTCAGTCACTTAATCACTAGCCAAGTTGGTGCTGAAGGCAAAAGTCAATTTGACCCCTTTTTCTTGGTCTGATTCTCACTCTTTCTAGTGCTTGTTTCCAATAAAAGATTTGATTTCTGGCAATTGAGAATAGTGACCTGGGGACAAGGGTAGGAAAGAGGTTTTTGTTGTTTTGTTTCTTGAGACAGGGTCTCACCCTAGACCTCGAGCTCCCCAACCTCTGCCCCAGCCCCTCGAGTGCTGGGATTGCAGCTGTGCCCTGTGGGAAGAGTATTTTTGAAGGGAAGCTGGGGACTTTGAAAAGGGGACAGGACAGAGACCAGGGATTCCTGGCAGTCCTGAGGCAGGACTGAAGGAGGAACAACAAGATCTCACTGGCAGGCTGTGTGGCTTGTCCAGGAGGCTAGGTTCCCTACCATAGTCAGGAATTGTGAACTCCACAAACGAGAGAGCTATTTGCCCTCAAGAGTATCATGAGGGCCACGGATTTAGCTCAGTAGCACTGCATCTGCCTTGAAACCGCAAGGTCCTGAGTTTGATCCCCAGTACGGGGTGGGGGGGGGCATTGTGAGAGGTGACAATGAAAGTCTTTCACCAAATCTCTGATTTGGGTTTGACGCTCAGAAGTACTTCACCGATGACAGGGATTTTTTCATCAAACTGTTGAGAGGTAGAGTTCAAATTAAGATTAACTTCTTCCAAATAATATGTAAAAGTTCTCAGACTCTGAGTCACAGGAGTAATTTTTTTATTGTTGTTACCTGGCTTCCCCTGTTTTTGTTATAAGTATGCTATAAGTCTTGCTATTGCTCTTTTGAGGATACTGTTATTCTCTGGCTGTCTTTCAGTGGGTTTACAAAATTTTCAGCCATTAGTTCTTCAGGTATCACTTCTTTTCTTGCCTCTTTTTATTCTCTTTCTGATATTCTAAATATAAGCATGTTAGAATTTTTCACTGTATTTTCTATATCTCCTTATAGTTCTTGGATATTTTCTATTCTCTCCATACTTCATTTTAAATATTGTTTTGTGACCTATATTCCACTTTACAAATTTTGTCTTCAGTTGGATCTCAAAGTTGCTGAAGTTATTTATTGAGGTCTTAATTTTGATTTTTTTTATAATTCTAGAATTTCTTTTTGTCTCTCATGCAGTTTCCAGTTCTCTGCCTAAGCCCTTAGTTATTTCTTTTATTTCATTGAAAATATAACTGCATACATTATATGCCTTCTGTTTGCCTCTCTGGATATATCTTCACTCTCCTCTCTATGCTGCTTTTTACCCAGGACTCTGCTCTGCATGGACTATGTCAATGGACTTTCCTGTCCTCTGGCTTCTAGCTGTGTTTGACTAATGGTAAGTATTTGGCCAACAGGACCAGAGAGTGAGATTTGGTGCTGATTTACCTGTTCTCTCTCAGAGTGTGGGGCACTGTGGGCTGGGCATATTCCCTTATGGAGACTCTGTGCCTCTGTGTTCTGATACTTCTGATCTCCCCCCTCCCTCAGACTTTTCAGACCCAGAGTTTGCAAAGGCTCCTTCTTGTTGGTAGCTCCAAAGTTCTGGGTCATTCTCCCCTTTTACTACTCCCACTTTTGTAAATTATTCCTTTATAAATTCTCCCCCATGTTATAATAATTTGGTGGTGCCATCTGTTTCTGGTTGGAAACCTGACTGATATGCTTATATTAGAGAATATTTTTGATCATTTGAATAGTTAGATATGGATCTATTTCTATTATCTTTTCAGTCTACTGTTCTTTATAATTTCTTGTTTCATGTGACTATTTTTGAATTATGTGTTAATAATTATATGTGCAAATTTGTTTTTGGAAATGTATTCTTCATTTAGACAGGATTTATGTTTTCTCTTGCCAAACAGTTGGAATTGTTCTAGTTCTGGGAGGCCTTATCTAGCTCTGGTTTATCATTATTTCTTCAGCATTTCAACTCAAAATGGGAGGATTTACAAATAATCTTCTTTATCTTGGAAGGCCCTGGACTACAGTCCATTCCTTTAATTCAACCTCTTAGCTTCTTTCAACCCCTCATGAACTTCCAAATGAACCCAGAGTAAAGAAGTCTTATCTTCCAGTTTACTTCTTTGAGCCTCCAAACCAGTTCAGTAATGCTTCACTATCTTATTATCTAGCATTTAAAAGAATAGCATTCCTAATTATCTAGTTATCTGAAATAAGAAAATTGTTTTGAATTACCTAGTTTGCTTTTTTTCAAACTTGAATGGTAGTCAACTAATTAATCTATGAAAACATCTAGAATAACTCAGATAAATATATTCTCTTTTATTTCACAGTAAAATATCTTTTGCCCTAATTGAAAAAAAAGTGGTCTTTTGGGCCGGGGATTTAGCTCCGTGGTTCCGGCGCCTGCCTCGCAAGTGCAAGATCCCGAGTTCAATCCCCGGTACCAAAAACAAACAAACAAACAAAAAAGTGGTCTTTTAATGTTGAACCAGTTTTCCATCATTAGCTACTACCAAAGTCAAAGTAATTTAATATTTGAATTTTGAGTTCCTTAAGGATATTATCCTTATCTCATTCACCTTTATATCCTGAGTACCTAGCACAGTAATTGTTTAGATAGCATTTGCTAAGTGAAACGAAGAATAGGTAGAAGCATGAAATACACAAATTCCAATGAAGAAAATTTCTTATGTATTACATTTCTCCACCAAAAAATTAAATCTAGATAGTGTTGGGGCTAAGTCCCTGACAGCGATAATCCCCTGAGTCAGACACCATGTAAAGTCCACAGAGAACTTTATTTCTGGCCAGGACCAAATCCCCTGCAAGGAGACTGGCCCAGACTGAGCTTTTGGTCAGTTTTTATAAAGAAAACCCTTTCCTCCTCCCCCCTCCCTAGCCCTGCAGTAAGTGTATCTACAGAAGTGAGAAAGAATGTGTAGTTAGCACCTCTGAGTTACCACATACGTATTGCAAAACCAGCCCTTATAAAAGGAAAACACATCCTCTTATTTACGATGGGTGGGTTCCATATGCGCTTTTGTAGTTGTTTGTCTAAACCCTTAAACATCAATCAAAAGCAGGAGTATAGGCATGAGATAAGAACATCTGGTGTATTGAGACATCACACAGGAGTATGAATGTGAGATAAGATCCCCCCCTCCTTTCAGAGTTCACACAGAGGACAGTTTCCCATCAGGACTCGGCAGTTCAGACAAAATGGAGTCTCTTAAGTTAACTTAGGTCTCTCAGATAAGACACAGATAGATTAAAAAATTAATAAATTACACACAGATTAATAAATTAATAAATCTAAAGTGGACACAGATAAAAAAAATTAAGGAGCTGAGGAACATGATGGAATCCCAACATAGGAAACAAATGGAATCCATAAAACAGATA